AAGATCTCTCTACATACTGATTCTACAGACTAACATGGCTATATTATTTGAAAGTCTATGGCTTGCTTGGCTGCTCCTACTGCAAAAATGTTGGGCAGGATATCGAGCATACGGCTCATGAATCTCAAGCTAATGAAAGCAAAGTCCTAGATGTGAATCTTGAGCATAACTGATTCCAAAGTCTCAAGCATTTTACACAAAAGATGCCTAGATTTGCTACTGTAAATTAATCAAATACTGTAATACCATTAGTCTGGTTCTCCCTTGAGCCTACTCCTCATTATTGAACTACAGCACTGGATTTCTGAGGATTATGTTCCTGAGGATTTGGTTCTTTTGGCAAGGATCATTTTGCTCACATACTGTGATTTTGTCCCCAGCTTCACTCTTACAAAACAAAACCATCTTCCTTTCATCAGAGCAAACATGATATTTCTTCACACACACACCCTCCTACTACCTTTATAACTGGAAAGAGAGAATGGAGAATAAAACAGCTACACCAAAGGCTAAACTACTGAACACTGACATACCATGGTAATAAAAGCCAAGGGAGTTTAAAATGCAATGCAAACAAGAGCCCACCATTATCTGGCAACCCCTCCAAACTGCTCCTTTCTAATATTATACAAACTGAGGGAGTGGGCTGCTTACATCTTTAATATGGCTGCAGTTCAGAGCTTTCCCCCTCCTATTGTGTGTGACTAGCTTGTCTGAAAGGTTTCTGATTATATGTGCTGTCTTGCATTTCCATTTCATTAGCACTAATAATAGGCAGGCATATTTTTGTGCAAGGGAGTGCTGCTGATAAAGTGACCTTTCTGAATTACAAAACCCAGCAAAGTGTAGCACAGACTATAGAGGTTTAGGCTATTCCCATCTGTGGAGTCTTTAATCATGAAAAGTGTGGATGGAACGCTAGCTATAAAGGCAGACAAAAATGGACCACAAGTCAAGCTTGTTTGTCTGTTACAGCATGCCCCAAGTGAATGGGGTGTTAAAGAGGTCAAACAAGAAAAGAGCTATAATATGAAAATCCTAAAGAGAGAAAATAAGCAAAGGCTTGAATCTTGATCTTATACATGAAATGTAGTTGAACAATGAGAGAGGTTTGTTTTTAAAAAAGAAAAATCAGAAGGGAGGATGTTAAAGAGCTTTCTGTCTAATGTTTGCTGCATAGTTCTGGAATAAGGTGACATGGGGGAGAATTCTAGAAAGGGAGAATGTTAAATCTAATGGAGGGACTAAGCAAGAGTAGAAGATCTTGGATGAAGTGCTAAAGTGACATGTTTTTAAAGGATTCCATTTTAAGATATTATAGTCACTACTAATAGTTGTTGTGTGCCTTCAAGTCATTTCCAACGTATGGTGACCCTATCACGGAGTTTTCTTGGGAAGATTTGTTCAGGGGAGGTTTGCCATTGCCTTCCCCTGAGGCTGAGAGCATGTGACTTGTCCAAGGTCACCCAGTGGATTTTGTGACCATGCTGGGACTCAAACTCTAGACCTTTAGAGTTGTAGTCCAACGCTTAAACCACTGCACCGCACAGGACAAAAGGGGTGTATCCACACTACAGAAATAAAGCAGTTTTGACACCACTTTAACTGTCATGGCTCCATCCTGAGGAATACTGGGATTTGTAGTTTGGTGAGGCACCAGAGCTTTCTACCAGACCAGACTGAATGCCTCACCAAACTATAAGTCCTGGTATTCCACAGGATGGTGCCATGACAGTTAAGGTGGTGTCAAGCTGCTTCATTTCTGCATTGTGGCAATAGCCAAAGTTTTAATGGCAGCTAAAGATTAGGACAAGAATTCTGTCTTGGATGTAGAAGATAAGAGATATTTGGAACAGCATCGTTGTATTTACATGGTCTAATGATGGAATTAATGACAGAGATCACATTGATCAAGGCTAGAAATAAATTCAGTAGTAATGCCACTTGTCTGTATTATGGAGAAACTAGTAAAAAGAAGTGGGAAACGGAGTTTTCAGAAGGCAAAAACTGGTGATGGCAGAGGTCCGTGGCTTGGTGACTAGTTTGTTTATTAATTAAAATATTTCCTCCTGCTCTCCATCATGAAATCACAGGGCAACATGCCATTTAAGCAATATAAACAATTTAAAACAATTCCAGATTAAAGCAGTAAAATAATTTAAATAGGATAAAAACGTATTAAAAAGGTCACCAAGTTGAAACATCATGAAAAGGCTAAAACAGTTGAAGCTATGGACTTATTTGTTGTTGTGTGCCTTCAACATGTTTCTGACTTATGGTGACCCTAAGGCGAAACTATCATGGGATTTTCTGGGGCTAAGATGGTGTGACTCGCTCAAAGTCACCCAGTGGGTTTCCATGACCAAGCAGGGAGTTGACCCTGGGCCTCCACTGTTGTAGTCCAACCCTCAAAGCATTACACTCTGCCGGCACAAGTGGACGTGTACACTAAAATAAAAGATTATGTCTCAAAGTCCTTTATAATTTGGCACTTACAAGAAACCAACATTGCCACCAATTTGGGCCTCCCAGGGGCAGGGTATTCCAGGGTGCCACAACAGAAAAACCATTCATACTCTTCATGGAGTGGGGGGCCCTCAACAGATCTCAATTCGTAGGCAGTTAAATAATAATAATGAAGAGGAGAAAGGGGAGGAGGATACCAGTGCATACAAAAAAGGGGGGAAGCTACATGAACACTGACTTATGGACATAAAACGGTGAGACCAAAAAAGCAAACAGCAAACTCTGTGGTTTTGCAATATACCATATATACTCAACTATAAGTCGAGAAATTTATGCCCCAAAATTGACCCTAAAATTCTGGGTCAATGTATATATGTGTCACCACGCTAATACTGCTTAGAAGGGTCCTGAAACAATCAAACCTGATCTCCCACTCTTCCTACCTCGAGGCAGATATTTCTCTCTCTCTCTCTCTGTGAAGGAGGTTCCCAATCCGATTTGCAAGCCTTCTCTTCCAACAAAGAAACACACCATTTAATGCCACTTCCTTTCCTCCCCAATCCAATGTTAAAATCTCTTCTCTAGCACCAGGGAAATGGTGTTAGATGATCGGAAGAGGTCCGGAGAAGAAGAAGGAGGGATGGAAGTGATGTTTTCCCCTTTCCATCCTTTGTTATATCTCTCTAAGTTTTACCCTCAATTTATCCTTGGTCACATAAAAATCCATGATTTTGACCCTGAAAGCTTCCTTGTACACAAGTATATATGGTAGAAGTTTGAGTAAGAGTGGAATTGCACACTGCACATGTAGTAAATGGAATTGCTCAGACTGAATGTGAAGAATAGATAGCTGGGAAAACAAGTGATGACGCAGAAAGTCTACAGAAGGTAAATGAGACAAATATGTGATCAAGGAAATTGCTATCGCAAAAGAAAAGGGAGTTGTCTCAGCCTAACTTTTTTAACCCCCGGTCTCTCTGCTCTGCACTATAGCAAGTAAGCCTTTAATCAAGACCAAACATATATAACTGAAACAATAGGATGTTCTTTTTCAATTTGTTACTGCCTTCCCTTCCTCTAATGTTTCTTCTGCCAAATTTTAGATTGCTGTTCTTTAAATCGAGCAAGTAAGCTCTGCAGGCCAGGGACTGGTTTTATTGTACCCTGTCAATCCCCATGCATATTAACTGTGCCAAATAATATATGTAC